ATGGTATGGTATGGTATGGTATGGTATGGTATGGTATGGTATGGTATGGTATGGTATGGTATGGTATGGTATGGTATGGTATGGTATGGTATGGTATGAATAGCACTATACTGTAGAGTCTGATGTTTGATGAGCTAATGGCTAATCTGAATGGAGCCACAGAAGATTACCTGATGACAGATAATTGCAAGGTGTGAGTTCATGTCAAAGAACAAAATACAAAAAAAAAAAGAAAAAAACACGTTTAAAGGAAAATCGAATCTCAGCATTCATTACAGATTTGTTTCATATTTCCTCAGGTTTTTATGAACATAATGTTGATCCTGTGTGACCCCTGTCCTCAATCTGTCTCCTGTCCACAGTCTGCAGACAAGCAGCAAGCACTGGAGGAGACGAAGAGCTACACCACCCAGTCTCTGGCCAGTGTGGCCTACCTCATCAACACACTGGCCAACAACGTGCTGCAGATGCTTGACATCCAGGCGTCTCAGCTGCGCCGCATGGAGAGCTCCGTCAACCACATTTCACAGGTCTGATCCGATGACACAACATGTTGCGCCTACTTCTGAGTGGGCTCAGCTGCTGACAACACCCACCCACCAGGCTGCAAAGTATCACACTCTGCAAGCTAAAAATTATTTTGTATTCATCCAAATTAAATACAGTCATTAATAAAATGTTTTCTCCCATTAGAAACACTGGAATGTACGATAAATATGAAACCAGGTGAAACAGTATAAAACCTAAAATCTGTCATCCTATGTAACATCACAAACATACCAGTAACTTGTTCTGTTATGACTCATGAAAGGGCACCTGGGTGAAAGCACACAGTGTTTAATCAAGTCTACATGCAGGCTCATGTATGTTAGCTGCACCCTGTAAATGTTGTTCAGTATGTGCTGTCAAGTGCAACAGACCTGAATTTATTTTAGGACTTGAGACTTAATGAGAAGAAACAACAATCCAGTGTAAATTATGCTGTAGCAAGAAGTGGTTATAGTACAGAAACATGTCTTTTTGTTTCTTCCTTGTTTCAGCATTGTGTTAACACAATATATCATTTTAAAGCAGATCGTGAATATTATCAGAATTTATAAAAATTACAATATAAAACAATGTTTCTGCAGGTTAACAAGCTGAATCAGCAGCTTATTTGACTTCACAGAAATATATTTYATATATTTCTGGGTCGAGACTAGATGGAGACACCAAACTACAAGAAAATGTCTTGGTCTTCACTTGGAATTAATCTAAGCCAGGGGTCTCCAACCAGTAGCTCGTGAGCTCATTTAAAGTAGCTCTTCAGTGCTTATGAAAATTAGGAGAAGCAAAATGTAATTTGTCTCTGGCCAAACAAACTTTCATTTAATACCAATCAATCTGAGGGGTTTCAGGTAAACTAAGTGGACAAACAAGTTTATGACAATCAAAACTGTTTGTTTAATTTGGACTTCAGAGAAGAAGTGCAGAAGCAGCTAGATGAGGACCAGGCCGACCTGCTGGAGGCTGCTGTGGGAATGTTATGTAGTTCATAATGTTTGATTTCATTATTGCCTTTAGTCACAGTGTAATTCCACAGGTTACCAACTCCTCACATATTCTTGTCTGACTCAAAGAAACTAAATGGAGAAGAGTTGGAGACAGGTTCCAGACACCTGTAGCTTCTCTCTAAGTTAAAGGAAATATGTTGATGATACGTTAATGCTTCCTGTGACTTGAGGCCTCACATTTCATAATCTGCAAGGAAACTGGAGAACCCTTGACAAATGTTTCAAATCATTTTGGACACACAAATACTATTCACTGTTAATTATTTTCTGTATGGCTACAACATCAAATTAATTTGGTTCCACTCTGCACTCTTAGCAGCAGGTAACCTTATTTACAGTATACAGTATATAGATCTAAAATCTTTTAAAATTCACTATCTGCTCAAAGGTTTTTATAATTTTACTGTAAGAAGTTATGAACAGCCTGGTTCAGTGTTTTAACTAAGGCTCAGTTTTACCACCGTGGCAGTTTAGCATCTTTTTATCCAATCAGATGTAGCAGCTGTGTGACTATCAAGTCCTGCAGCTGTGATTAAAAGTCAGCTTATTTTAGATTAAAAAGATAACCAGGTGAAGGACAAAGTCAGAAAATGGTAGGTCTATTTATAATCTGAGGAGTGAACTCTGGAATTTTACATACAAGCCCTGGCAAAAAGTACAGAATCACCAGTCTTGGATGAGTACTCATTCAGAAATTTCATTCTGTAAAACAAACTCAGATCAAAAACATGATACAATAATTAGGTCATTCTAAAGTGCAACTTGTTGGCTTTCAGGAACACTCAAAGAAATGAAGAGAAAACATTGTGGAAGTCAGTGAATGTTACTTTTATTGACCAAGCACAGGGAAAAAAGCATGGAATCACTCAAATTGGAGGAAGAAAATAAGGACACACCCAGTCAGTTTCCTTTCCCTAAATGGACACCAGCCTCAGATTAGATCTGTTCATTAGTCTGCAGTTAAAAACACCTGCAGTCATGACACCTTGGAGGGCTGCTGGACTAAGTGGAGTGGCAAGAACCATGGCTCCAACAAGAGAAATGTCTCTTGAAACAAAAGAGAGAATTGTGAAACTTCTTGAAGAAGGTAACTTTTCACGTGTGGTTGCTAAAGATGTGGGCTGTTCACAGTCAGCTGTATCCAAGATATGGACCAAATACAAACAGCATGGAATGGTTGTTAAAGCCAAGTGTACTGGTAGACCAAGAAAGGCATCAAAGCGTCAAGACAAACAACTTAAGGCCATTTGTCATGAAAACTGAAAAAGTACAACTAAACAGATGAAGCATAAATGGGAGGAAGCTGGAGCCAATGTATGTCATCTGTTGTTGTTTGATCTGAGTTTGTTTTACAGAATGAAATGTCTGAATGAGTGCTCATCTCAGACTGGTTATTCCATACTTTTTGCCAGGGGTTTTAGCATGGACTTTCTGTCTGTAACCTGACTTCACTAAGAGGTAGACGATGAAATATTTGATGGACATYAAGCAGCCTTGGTTCTGATTGGACTGACTCATGGAGGACCATTAAGATAACAGAGACTTCTAAGCCTGTCTGAAGGTTACAGTAGATGTGATGATTCATACATCCATGGCTGAAAATGCTCCATTTATACTGCAGTTCTTTCTCTCTACCTGCACTTTACACCAACTAAATACAGATCTGAGATAGTTTGAATCAATTTCTTCACAGTTTTGCACCTGTTGCTCTCAGCTGGTGTTTCTTAAACACCACTAACACATCAATTAACCATCATCCAATKTCTACAAGGATTCTCACACTGCAGTTCAGTTCCAAATAGTTTCCATTTGGAGCTCAGATCAGAATTTGTTTGATTTTTTACTTTAAATCACAGTTCATGTTTTGAAATGTAATTATCTCGATATGTAGTTGATGCTAGTTTTTAGGAACGTTTAAATAGCTCTTGAGTCCCACCAGTGGGCCACAGTACAAAAGCCATGACTCTAGTTAATTAAAACTAATTTGTCTTTGCAGTTGCTCATTAAACAACATATCTTGTCTTTCATTCTCGACTCCTGCTGGGAGCACCAGCTTTCTCCTCACATCAACTCACAGCTTCAAGACTCCAGATCCAAGTATTTTACATTTGACGGTGACAATTATCAGTGACTCGGCCATAAAAACTTTACACATAAGTTTTAGTTAATGAGTCTTTTAAATGCACTTCTCCCCATTTGTCTTTTTAAAATTCCAACAATCCTAATTAGCCCTTTAGCTGACATCTGAATCGTAAAATTAAAACCTCCAGTTAACCCATTCCGACAAGTTGTTTTTATATAAAATCTGTAATTAATATCAGGTTACTACTGTTATGATTGATGTACAATCTTAGAAAATATCCTGTCTTCTGCAGCTCTTCAGACTGGTGTATGAACACACAGTAAAAATGAAGCTGTACACCTACACACTGCAGCTGGGTCCAGCATGGTTTTCTGAGTCCAAGTCAGTCTAAAATAGCTGCTATGTTGCACACAGGACTCAGAGAGAGTTTCTGTGGGAAAAGAAGAGTAAAATAAATGAAGAGTCTTCAGTATTCTCCACACAGTGACTGTATGCTTAGAGGAATACAGTTTTCAGAAACACAGAGGGTCTCAGACCTCTGAATAATCAGTATAATCAGAAATCTCTGCATGCAGCTATAATGAGATGCTTCTTTCTGTTATGTTAGGCCAGGCTGTGATGCACAACATAATTACTGCTTTCTGCTCTGTGAGACAGTCACATCTGTTATGTAGGCGAACATTTCACACAGTGAGTCTTCTTCACATGAGAAACCACACAGAGATGATCTTATATAATATATTCTGCAGTTCATTCTGCCCAAAACAGTGTGCTAACATCAAACAGAGGCAATCAGATTAAAGACCAGGCAATAATGATGTGGCTGTGGGTTAAAAAGTTTCAGTCTTTAAAAGTTAAACAGTTGAGATCAGTAAATGTACGGTGAGTGTCTCTTTGTTTAGCTTTCATGAGTTAGAGCTGACAGGAACTGTGGTGCTGAAATGTGCTTGTTAAGTTCGTTCTTTCTACAGGACTGCCAGGGAGACTATAAACACACTGCCTCTTCTGCTGCTTTATACATATTCAGCGGAACAGTCCTAACAAAGAAAACCAAAATAATCCCGCATCAGTTTTCTATGTGTTGTATTCTATCTGTCTGTCTGTCTGCTTGCTTGAGAGACCTGTTATGTGCTTAACATTTGGACTCAGTAGAGCAGTAGAGCTAAATGGTAAATGGACTGTACTTATATAGCACTTTTCTATCCATCCAGGACACTCAAAGCACTTTACACTACAATCTGTGCCCTCATTTACCCATTCACACAGCACTCTTATTAGGTCTTTACAAAGCCAGGACAACTCCCCTAACCACTCTGCCACAGCCACCCCAAAAAAATAATTCCATGACATTTCCATCTTGCAGGTCAATTCTTTCATGTGGCACATCACTTGGTAAACAGGATCCTTTCCTGATCCATATTGCTACCACAAAACCTGTCTCTGACTGTAATCTGACTCCTGTTGTTGACATATTAACTGTGGGATTGTTTATAAAAAATAGATTTTTTTTAATGTTTTGTTTTTGAGTCTCGCAGCTTCTGGGAGTTTGGTCACAAGTGGGACATGTCTGGATGCATTAACTCATAAAAATACATCAGTTTGTCCATACACATTTAATACAGGGTGTATCAGAAAAAATGATACTCTCAGAAAAATCGCCATAAAATTAACTTAGATAATAATTTTGAAAATGTAGGCAAAACCTTTGGTAGAGGGGATCTTTCTGCTTTGAATGACACCAAAGTCTTAGTTAACGCTTCACTCTCCAGTGAGCAGGGACAGTTGGAAATTCACAAAATTTATGTCCTTTGCACAAGGAAATGTGAGGGGTAAAATATGATCTGTCACATAAAATTAAAAGTTCAGATGATGTTTTACACGCATGCCAAGGTGT